AATTATTATCTACTCTTGCATGAATGTATAACTCAAAATAGCAGAAAGTAATATAGTCTACAATTACTATAACTGAATTGAAATTCATGTATAATGTACATGTACTGTAAATGTACTGTACATGTACATCTACATGTATGAGTTCTGTTTCCCTAGCACTCATGCATGTACATGTATATGTACATTTAGTTCCTAAAACTATGAAAGAGAGACAGCCAATTTAGAAGCCACAAATGCAGAGGCATCACGAATGCTAATAAATCAATATTAGCTAATTTCATGAGCAATGAAGAAGAGTGGCAGGCGTACATGGATTATAACATGTAACAGCTAGAACTGTGAAAATTAAGTCTAGTGCAGTGCTTTAAACATACATGCATGTGAAAATGTATACTCAGTTTTTCATTCATAAGCCACAAAATTCTATGCATTAAAAATTCAATATAAAGTGCCAATGACACATACATGTACAGTATCTATATCCACTTACTGATTGCTCCAATAAGACAAAGAACAAACAATATTGCAAACTGTGAGACTACCTCAGCATTAATAGCTCTCTCCAGCTTGCTCCTCTTAGCACGATGCCCTGTATTGTTCAACATTGACTTGGTCTCATACCCTGGGCATCAAATACAATCAAAAGCTCACATAGTGCAGGAACAGGAGCAGCTCAAATAGACTTTACACTCATAAATCAGAAGCTCAGGCAAGCCTTAACTCTTTTACTGAGTATCTCTCTCTCCCTCCCTCCCTCCTTCCCTCTCTCTCTCTCTCTCTCTCTCTCTCTCTCTCTCTCTCTCTCTCTCTCTCTCTCTCCCCCCTCCATCCCTCCCTTCCTTCCTCCCTCTCTCTCTCATTCCTTACCAGCATACGCTATCATTCCAATGACATAGTCAGTATTACGAAGGACACACCCTCTCAATAGCAAGTGATTTCGATTTAAGACGATATGACTACCATCAGGCTTTTCACTAAATAGGAAAAAAGTTTAAAAGTACATATAGTACTGAATGTACTAGTAGCATACATATTAGATTTCATTGCTAAAAAATAATTGTGTGTCTTAATTTAGTTCTAACATATGGTAGGTATTGTACATGTATATTCTAGATGTACATGTACTTGTACACATGCATGAACATTATGCATTTACATTTTTACAAGAATTTCCTATTCAATGGTTTTTAAATTTGAGGTGCACGCTCATAAATTAGTATTGGCCTGACGTGCCTATTGAAAGGGCTACCAATAGGGGGGGGGGGGGCAGGTGGGGCATTTTGCCCCAGGCCCCCCAATCAAAGATCCCCAAGCCTCAGGTCAATAGTAAAATACTGTCTATGTAAAAACTCTTTTAAGTTGACTCTTGCTGGGCCATCTTGTTAATCACTGTTATTAATAAGGGAGGGAGGAGGAATTTGTATTAGTAGGGTCCCAATAAAAGTTATTGCCATGAGCCCCACATAGCCTATTGGTAACCCTGCCTATCAATCTAATGTTTATTAACACTATCGCTCTTAATGTCTAAAGAATAACAAAACCAGAGTACTGAAAGTGTATCTTTATTATCGTTCCTCTCATGTGATAACAAATGTGCTTATACACGTGTATACAATATAACCTCAGTTAAAATGTGATCATACATGTATTCTACAGTATATTCTATCAGTTTCCTTTTTCATTATAAACAAATGTACAAAGAAGCTCCCACTTCATCTTTAAAAAGTAGTGCTATTAATTATTATTCAATGAGAAAGGAAGTTCCATTGTTTATAATATTACATACATGTACAATTACATGTAATACACATGTACCTGTAGTATACAGAAACTAAAACAAGTACCTGCATGTTATGACTACACAAATTGTGTTAAGTACAATTACATGTCTCTTACATGAATCCTTTAAATTCATAGATTGTCTTGTTTGGTTGCTCATAAAACAGCTCTCCACTAAATTGCTTGGGGAAAAATTCAGCCTTAAATCAGAAATAAAAAATGAATACAAATTTTATGCATGATCATAAATACACATGTACATGCAACATACATGTACATGTACATGCATGATAGCATGAATCACTTACATGAGGTTCTCTGCTTTCCAGTATATCTTCAGGTACTTGACGTAGCTTAAGAGTAGTTTCACCATCAAGGTTAGATGTCTGTATGTAGCAGTTATTGTTAGGATCTGATGATTCTAATATCAATATGTCAGCTGGTATCACTTCGTCACAAGACAAACGAACAAAATCTCCAACATACAATTCCTCCCATTTTCTCCTAGTGAACTGACCTTCAATTCTAATTGAAATGTAATTTTTTTTTAAATTAAAAACAAGTGTTAATATAGTACATTATGCATAACAAGTACATGTAATTATTATTAAAATTTGGTGAATCTGTTAATTTGGGAGCAATTTGCTACAAAAAAACCTTCCATTTTGAACCATAAGCACATACTCAATGGCACATGGCCTCAAACTCACCAAATTAAAAACTGCCAAGAATATTACATAACAAACATCAGGTTAGCATTATTTCCCAGCATTAAACCATAAATGTACCTATTGTAAGCTTCACAGAGGGTAGCGTTCACTTTTCTATCAGACCGATATCTCCTAATGTCCTCAATGGCATCTTTTATAGCTGTTACAGAGAGAACACAAAAAAGTGGGACCCAAGAGACCTCTTTACCAAATGCTTCAATGGCCGGTATAAAATTGAGAATTATGATCAAGAGAAAGTACAGGTTGGCTACTCTGTGGAATTGCTCTAGTAGGTTTTTGGGTAGGAAGGTGATGAGGGTGTACTTTGTGGTGTGTACGACGTTAGAGAGTGAAGAAACGCGTCTAAAATTCAAATTATAGAGGTTTAGTACTATTCTCTTAAAGCTTTCACGCCATGTTCTTCTTATCGGTGGTACATAGGCAGAATTGTATGTTAGTCTACGGTAGTCACTAGTGTCTATCTGTGATGAATGTCCAAGATGACGATCAACTCCATTTTCATCGACAAATCCTCTGTGTCCAGCCGCCATTTTGTGATGATCAGCTAAAAATGAGGAGGGTGTGCTGCCATAGCGGTACCTCCCCCTAAAGGACAATGAAGATTCATCCTCCGAAAAGGATTTGTTGCCCTCGAGAAGAAGGCTCTTCTCTGTAACAACTGCCATGCTAGAATGCAAAAAAGGGGGAGGAGAGTTTATTTTTCACTATAATTGTGCTGCATGTGCAGCCGCAGAGTCTACAAAAATTATCAATCCACAAAGTATAAACATTTTTTGCTATCAAGTAGTAATCTTCAGTTGCTGTTTCGCCTGTCCACACTTTCAAATAGAATGCATACATTCTTACTAAAGTCTAGGCCTATAATTCTAGTATCAATGCATTTGCAAGCAGCCACACCTTTGAAAAGGGTGTGGTTTTCTCTAAATAACCCACCCTTAACTATATCTCGATTCTCCTATGCTATAACTATAAAATTGATACTTCCAGCTTGTAGTATCAAGCCAAGATAGTCCAGCACCAGAATTTGACCAGTATTACGTATAGAATCAATCTAATAAAGCACAGAAGCAGCAAATAACCATGAGCAAATGCAATTATGAATTGTTAAGTTCACCACGCCCCTTGCAATTTAATGAATTTCGAGGTGTCATCGTGTCAACTCCGCCCAGGCCAGTTTGCAAAGAAGAGCAATGGCTGATGAACAAGTGGAGGAGCTGGAAACAGATGTAGCTATCATCGGGGCAGGACCAGTAGGTCTTCACTTAGCTGCTGAGTTAGCATATAGGTAAGAATTCACATTCTACTTGTGGTAATGGAGTATGTATGCCATCTATCATAAAAAATAATCATTGCTATATTCACATGTATGTTTTTGAAAAATAACGCATACATTGCAGAGATGAAGTGATTTAGGCAGCAGGATTTTTGTTAGTTTACTGTAACTAACAGTTCCGTACATGTATCTATTTTCACTAAATTTAATAATTGGGATTGGTTTTAGTGTCATTAAAGGCGGATTTACAATATGACATTAGGCCAGCGTACCGTCAATTTTTAATCAAATGCGTGGGCAGTTTGACCTTTTGACGCATGCTTTCCACTGGAATAGAACCAGATTCTATTTCAGCGTCAACGTAACGTCAAGACTAGCGTAATATTGTAAATCCGCCTTAAGACTGTGCATACATGTACAATGTAACTTTGAGCAGTAGGAAAGTCTATGCAAAGTAGGCTTTGGTACTAAATCTAATCTAATCTTTTTAAATGCTTTTTATAGTCATTTTAATGTACATAGCAGGGTTTCCCACAAAGCATGCTCATGAGCTGACAAGCACTACAATACAGTATATTTGGAGCAAATTTTAAAATTCATAAAATCGCAATTTGATTGGAATCAGCTTAAAGTTGGTACATAGCATAAGGACATGTACATGTATTTGCATCAGAAAAAATGATTTATTAAAATGGAAAATTCTTGTTTATTTTTGACAAAATTTTTGGCCGTAGACGAAAGGCTTTGGTGATTTGGTCGACAGCCCGATTTTCTAGCATATTAAAAAATTCATTAAAAAATCTAATTTAGATTGGAATCAGTTCAGAGTTGATAAACAACATAAGGACATGTACACACGTATGTGTATCTGAAAAAAATTATTAAAATGGAGCATTCTTACATTTTAATTTTGTCAAAATACCCTGTACTATTATACACATGTATAGTGTACATGGAGTACAGTGTCTTTGGCCCAATTTTGAGCACCATTGACAAAAAGCTGCATGAGCACCAGGGTAGGAAATAACAGTGCTCAAGTGTGCAAAATACAATGTAGCACCAATTTTTCCTAATGAGCACCATTTTACTACAAAATATTCTACTTGGTGAGCCAATTGTGCACTAACTAAAGTCTATTAATAATTATTAATTATTGAAAACCCCACCCATAATAAAACACGTGCATGTGCTGCAGCAATGACAATGGCTACTAATCTGTCTAGCTTATTAAATTATTAAAAATCAATAATAGTACTAGTGCTCTTAGCTCACCAAGAATGGGATATTTATAACAATTTGGTGCTCATTTTGCTCACTAAAAATAATTTCTTATTTCTGACCCTGATGAATACTATGAAAAAATCCTGTAGGAAGCCCGAGACTTTGTATTATAAATGCACATTGTACATATTGTACATGTACATATACATGTAGTCTTTTGTCTATGCTGCAATAATGCTTTACCTATAGCTATCACTAATAATTGATGAATCATGAAAGTATGTAATTCTGATCTTGTGTATGTGTATATTTTACGTGTTTTATGATTGGACTCACTTTCCTTTTCTTATTCACAGAGGCATCAAGTCTATAGTGATAGAGAAGAGGAATGGACCATCATCTTCAGCTAAGGCAGTGCTGGTAAACTCACGTACAATGGAGCACATTCATCGACTGGGACTTGAGAAAACCTTTCAGCGTCATTCGTACCCTCGTCAACAACCAATGTCTATCACTGTAGGCTCTTATGTGCTCAAGGATAATGTTCTGTTTAGCAAGCAGTTTAGTTCATGGGGTGATGCTGTTGATGGTATCAATGATATGGAGATGCTGCTTGGATTCGATCGCACCCTAACCATCTCTCCATCTCTTTTGTGCCCTCAGTCCCAACAAGAGGCAATGCTGAAAAGCCATCTTGATACAAAGAAAGATGTTTGTAGTATATTGTGGGGTTTCATGGCTACCTCTATCACCCAAGACAGTGATGGAGTCTCAGTTAAGATTGTCAATTCTAATGATTTTACCACTGAGAAGACGGTAAATGCTCTTTATGCAGTCGGTTGTGATGGGGGCAAGAGTTGGGTACGGAAGCAGATTGGTGTACATAATATTGGGAAATTTGTCGTCCGTCGTGCTGCTAGTATCACCTTTCGTTCACCCGAATTGACCCGATTGATAATGGACAAGAAAAGAATGGGTCTCATTGTTGCCTTTAATTCAGTCTCACAGGGCATCTTTGTCACGCTTAATGATAAAGGAGACTTTGCTTTCCATCTAGTTCTCAAGCCAACAGAAAGTGATGAAGACATGAAGGAGCGTGTACGCAATGCAGAGCACTACATTAAGCATGCCATTAGTGATGAGATAGACGTGCCATTTACACTAGTTGATGCACACGAGTATAAGATGCATGGCTTGATTGTATCAAAGTATCGTGAGGGGCGAGTCCTATTAGCTGGTGATGCTGCTCATCAATGGGTACCTGCTGGAGGGCTGGGTCTAAATACTGGCTATCAAGACTCGGCCAATCTCGGTTGGAAACTTGCTGCTGTTATTAATGGTTGGGGTGGTCCACACATGCTTGATTCCTATGAGGTGGAGAGGAGGCCACAAGCCTACAAGACTTGCCGTTATGCTGTTGGAGCTGTAGAAGAAGTTACGGCTGGTGTTCCTAGCCTTATATCAGTTTTGGAAGCTATACCACCAGCCCGCTGGCTTATTCGCTCTATTGCTGATTTTGGTGTCCGTAGTCAATTCCAAATTAACCATCACATTATACTGGGGTACCAATATGCCGACTCTAACATTGTTGTCCCGGAATTTGAGGACTCACCAAACAACACTGATATCATCAAACGAGTTACAGATGACGATACGTTTGTTCCCTCTTCTCTGCCAGGCTGCCGTGCTCCTCATGTTGTACTCCCAGAGTCTCCTACTATCCATGATCTTTTTGGCAGAGGGTTCCTATTGCTGGTTATAGGAGGAGCTGAGACCGATTGCGAGAGTCTCCAAGAAGAGCTAAAGTCTCGTAAAGTCCCATTTGAAGTGCGTGTTTATCCTAAGCTTCCCGATCTACTCCAGTTTTACGATCGCAAGTATTACTTGATTCGTCCGGATGGTAATATAAGCTGGAGGTCTTTCTCTCAGCCCAGCTATCAAGAGGCTATGCACATTGCTATGAAAGTCTGTGGGGACATACCATATCAGTCCTTTCCCAAACCAGCTCCATCTCCAAGGAATATAGGAGCTTTGGATTTTTTGACAGATGTGTTTTTGGGGATTTCTGCATTTCGTTTCTTGGAGCGGTACACGTCTCTCTCTACTAATGCACTGATTTTTACCGGAATAGGAGTTGCAACACTTTCCAGTGTACTCAGGAATAGCTTTCATTTCAAGAAAGCTCCTTACATTCAAGGGGTTTCCCGTCATCAAGCATGGGTTGCAACGAAATTTGGACCGCCAGAGCAATCCCTGCAAATGGACCCATCTTTTGTTGGTTCTTTTGGCCCAAAGGATGTTCTCATTAGGGTAAAGGCAGCATCAGTGAATCGCATTGACCTTGGAATGAGATCAGGTTATGGCGCTCCGCTATTCACCAAGTTTGCACTTGCTAGCAACAGGAAGGGCCTGTTCCCATTGATATTGGGTAGGGATTGCTCGGGAGAAGTTGTTGCAGTTGGTGATGAGGTGACAAGCTTCTCACCATGTGATGAGGTTTATGCTGCAGTCTCATTCAGCAGACAGGGAACACACTGCCAGTATGTTGCTGTGGATGAGAGCGACGTATCATTGAAGCCTGAGGGTGTTGATCATCGTGAAGCATCCTCTATCCCATGGGTTGCTGTCACTGTGTGGACTGCTCTTGTTAAGAAAGCTGGTCTCAACAAATACAATGCAAGGGGTAAGAGGGTCCTTGTTCATGGAGGTGCTGGTGGTGTCGGCTCTTTTGCTATTCAAATGTTAAAGTCCTGGGGAGCTGATGTCACTACTACATGTTCCACTGGTAACATCACGTTTGTACATTCCCTGGGAGCTGATGTTGCCATTGACTATACTAGTGGGGACTTCTCATCTTCACTCCCACTGCGTTCATTTGATGTTGTACTGGACACAGTTGGAGCTGATTATGAAGGACTGTCCCTACCATTACTAAAAGCCTACTCTGATGCAAAGTATGTCTCTATTCGTAGTCCGTATGTCCGTTACATCACCAAGTACGGCTGCTTTTTGGGTACTCTAATCTATCAATGGAGCTATAGGTACAAGATATTAGTCAATCGTTTGTTTGGTGGGCGTGCCTTCTATTATTCTATTGCTGAGTCAGATGGGAGCGTCTTAAATATTGTCAAAGACATGGTGGAGAAAGGTGAGATTCGTCCTATTCTTGGAGCAGTATATTCTAAAGATGAGATGATTGCAGCTCATGAGCACGTTGCCGGTGGACACACTCGCGGAAAAGTAGTCGTTGACTTTTCGTAAAAATGACCAAACTAATGCTTAGGAATATTAAGATTATAATAATAGTAGCAATTATTTTATTTTTGCTAGTGAAGAATTTAAATTGTATTTTTTTGCAAAAAAATAATTAAATTTTTGATTTGAGCCACGCCTTTTTTGTTCCGGATATTACTCAGGATATTTGATACTCGTGAACTTAAAAATGGCTGCATTTCAGAAGCTAAGTGTGGACGAGATAGACGTCAAAGGCAAGAGAGTTCTCGTGAGGTAAGCAAATAAAGCAATGATTATTAGCTCTGTCTACCAACAGGGTTGATTTTAATGTTCCTTTGGACGGCAAGACAGTGACAAGCAACCAGAGGTAGGCCCTTCCTCAGTCTTGTTATGAATTTTTATAATTTCACTCATTTAGGATAGTAGCAGCTCTGCCTACTATTAAGTATTTGTTGGATAATGGAGCACGTAGTGTTGTGGCAATGAGCCACTTGGGTAGACCTGATGGACGTAAAGTTGATAAATATTCACTTGCACCAGTTGCTACTGAATTCCAGCGACTCCTGGGAAGGTAAGATTATGAGCTGAGGAAGAATTATGTCAATAAAAAGATAATCATTAACATTAAAGGGTGTGGCTGAATACATGTACATGGACAGCAGCTTTTTATGATACACAGGGTTTCCTACAGGATTTTGGCATAGTGTTATGCAGTTTCTTGTTGGTGGATTCTATGACCAGGCCTGTACTGCTTATAGACTGGGCATTTTGACAAAAAATACAAAGAGAGAATTCTCCATTTTTATAATTTTTTTTTCTGAAAAAAACTTGTTCTTTTGTTGTGCAGAAAAATTTAGCTGAATCAAATAAAAATTGGATTTTTATAAACTTTTAAATTTGCTCCAAAATTGGCCAATAACCAAAGGTTGTAAACCTGTGGTTTTTGACCAAATTTTGTCAGAAATGGCCAGGGGAGAATTCTCTATCTTTATAATTTTTTCTGATGCATATACATACACATGTCCTTATGTTGTGTATCAACTTTGAGCTGATTCCTATCAAATTTGGATTTTTCATGAAGCATTCACTTAGCATGCTTTGTAGGAAACCCTGATACCGTATAGGGGTTTTATTTTGTTGGTATAAAATTTCGCGAATTTGTCCAGATTTACCATTTGTTGGTATAAAGTTTTGCGAATCTACCTTCTGCAGCCATTTTTCCTAGTGTACCACACCTCTTTTATGGAATTTAATTTCGCAAATTTAATGAAAACGCGAAATTCGCGAAATTTATTTCCAATGAAATATAACCCCATATACGGTAGTACACCGATAGTACAGACATTGCGGTTCTCATGACACATGTTTGCTCTGGTTACAACTTCTAGTGCATCACGATAGACTACAATGCCTCCTTTGTACTTTTCTTTGTTACATTCTTCCTCATTCATTGGATCAATCATCAACTTGCAAGGCAATAATATTATGTGGTATAGATAGGAATGTAATGCATAGTTTCGTTTATTATACATGTATGTATCACAACAAGAAGCATAAGAATATCCTAACAAAAATAGTCCAAATAAACATTGCTATATTGCTTCTTCATAAACTTTTTATATAAGACCAGTTCGTTGCTTGTTGTACCCAAAGCAAATCAATGGGCACTTTACCAGAGATATCAATCTTTGCACATCCTCCTTGATTATTCACACCAAACCCATTGCATTCCACTCCATTGGTCCAGGATTTGTAAGGTAGGGCATATACCAGCACCTCTATTATACCTTGGCTTGCAACAGGCACATGTATGTGGTGGCCATCATGCACTGGTAGCAGTATAGGCCAATGTCATCAAACTATGGCCCACAAAAATAATTACAATATCCCCAGAAAGCAGTGGCAACTCCCTTGTAGTTTTTATTGCATTTAGGATGGCACAGATCATCATCATAATCCTCATCTTCAATCTTCATCACATCAATCCTTTGCACATGTGCTTGTTGCTATGTAATGGAAAATCTGCACTAGCAAGAAGTGAACATTTCTTATATCATAGTCCAAGGTAGTTCTCCTATTTATCAGCACAGCCAATAGGCACTGGGCCAACCTTTATTCCTCATGCTTTGCGAACTAGAAAAAAATTAATTTACAATATGCAGCACACTTGGAAGAGTCTTAATTACTATCAACACAGCCAAGCTTGATTAGTAAGTAGTAACTACGAACTTCGGTTCCATTAGCTTCAACTTTAACATTATCCAAAATACCTTTAAGAAGATGAAGACTGACTCTTAATTCAACAGAAATAGAAAGCATATTTTCATAATTATCAGGGACAAGTGCTATGCCTAGTGGTGGTGACATTGCTTTAATCATGTTCATAACTTCATTTCTGTTTCCAAAAAACACATCAATATAGCTTTATACCTGTAATGATCATCTGATATGACCATGATTTTGAATGTATATTGTACTTGCCATTGTTACGTTCATGCTATCCATAAGTGTGTTTGTAGGATTAATAGCCAACACAGCAAAACCATAATAAAGAAACAATCCTGACCTCTTTGATAAGCAATGAACCAATGTGCAGGAAAACTAAGTTGCTGAATGATACTGAGTGAAATAAAATGGAAAAGTGATAGAGTTAATTGCATCCAGTCCTCCTAGATATTCACCACAATTTCTTAACACTAGCCTTTGGAGAGTGAGATTTAAAAGAGAGTTTACTGTTAGGTTGTGTGTTGGAGCCATTACAGTAAATGATAGCTGGTAGTGATGAATCACTAGTGAGTGTCAATGGTATTTCTTTTATGCTTTCAAATAATTATTCTACTCATAGTGAAACTAGAATTGCTTACTATTTTTACCTAATTTGGTGATGAAATCATGCATAAACAAACATTGCAAGTGAAAGCTAAAGTTTGTGCTTGCTAGGCATAGATAACTTGGTATAGATGAAAACAGACTGTATACTATATTGATTGATGAAGTTTCAATAATTATTTAGAAAAAAGTTGCATGAAAAGACAAGCACCAAAAATTATCAAAATAGTCCTAACAAAAAGTCCTATATTGCTTCTTCATGCACTTATTATATTAGGCCAGTGCACTACTTGTTGCATCCAAGATCAATGGGTGCTTTATCAGAGAGATCAACCTTTGGACATCCTCCTTCATTATTCACATTAAACCCATTGCATCCCGCTCCATTGGTCCAGGGTTGGTAAGGGAGGAGCCCAGCACCTCTGCCATACGATGGCTTGGAACAGGCATGTGGTGGCCACCACCGGTAGCAGTATAGGCCCATGTCAGTGTATGCTGATCCACAGAAATGGCTGCAATATCCCCAGCAAAGGTGGGCAACTCCGATGTAGTAATCCTTGCATTTAGGATAGCAGAGACCAGCATCATATTCCTGACCTGAAGTGCATCCATTTCTTGCACATGTGCTTATTGCTGTGCGCAAAGGGAAATGCTCATTAGCAACAAGTGAACATTTTTTAAAGCACATTCCCCCAAACAGCTCCTCATCATCAGCACAACCAATAGTATAATCACTAAACTTTGTTCCACATGCCTTGTTAACTACAAAAGGAGTTAAACAGTACAAACTCTAGTTGCAAAAGTCTTACCTTCAACACAGCCTCCCTTATTTCCTTTATAGTAAACACAAAGATAGTTTCCTTCAACAGTAAGTGTAAAATCATTCAAAGTACCTTTAAATTGTAAGGATGGATTTTTAATTCAATAGAAACAAAAATACTTTTTTGTAAATGCACTCTCCCTTCTGGTGGCAAAGTCTCATTGTTCATGTTTGTTACTTTGTTTCTGTTCCTAAGGTCACATGAATAATGTACAATAGTATGCACACAATACATTATACCTGTAATCATCACGGTTGTAAGACTTTGTGCCTATCATAGAAATAACATACAATGAATATACATTAACACATACAGCTATTGACATACTTGGCATAGCCAGAACACAAACACTGAGAGTCATAAAAAAGAATACAAGAGTCTTCATCGTAATTTTTTTCTTAATTGTAACTTGCTCACTGCATCAAAAGGAACCTCTTTATATAGCCTGCTGAATTTGAAGCATGCATCATGCAGCTCTTGTTACAAGCACGTGCGAAAATGCCTTAATGTTTGACATGTGTGCCTGGTATTATTTACAACTTAGTACACCTAATAGTACAGCTACCCAAAATATTGGTATTAGACATTAATTATGGCTCTCGTGGTGCCACATGTTTGTCCTGGCTGCATACTATTATTTACAACTTCTAGTGCATCACAATAGACTACTGACCTAACAATGCCCCAATTGTACTTTTCTTTGTTTCATTCTTCCTCATTCATTGAATCAGTCATCAACTTGCAAGGCATAGATTATGTGGCATAGATAGAAATGTAATGTATAATTGTATTTATTAAAGTTTATTATACATGTATGTATGACAACAAGATAAGCATAAAAAAATATCCTAACATGTACAAAAATAGTCTAAACAAAATATTCCTATTCTGCTTCTTATGCACTTATTATATTAGGCCAGTTCATTGCTTGTTGCATCCAAGATGAATGGGCACTTTACCAGAGATGTCAATCTTTGCACATCCTCCTTGATTATTCACATCCAACCCATTGCATCCCAATCCATTATTAGTCTAGGGTTTGCAAGGTTGGGTACAAGCACTTCTATCATATCTTGGCTTGTAATAGCTCTTTGGTGGCCACTACTGGTAACAGTATAGGACCACTCTGGTCCACAGAAATAGCTACAATATCCCTAGCAAATGGTGGCAACTCCCATGCAGTTTTTTTGCATTCAGACCAGCATCATATTCCTCATCGTCATCACATCCATCCTTTGAACATGTGTTTGTTGCTGTGCGTAATGGAAAACCTGCACTAGCAAGAAGTGAACATTTTTATAGCATAATTCAAGATACATGTAGTTCTCCTCCTGGACCAACCTTTATTTCACATGCTTTGTGAAATAAAGGTTATGACAATAAGAAGCATCTAAAATAGTCCTAACAAAAATTCCTATAATGCTCCTTCAAGCACTAGTTATATTAGACCAGTCCAAAAAAATTGTTGCTTGTTGCATTCAAGATGAGAACCTTACCAGAGATGTCACATCTTGCTTGATTATTCATACCAAACCCATAGCATCCTAATCCATGCATGTAGGGTTTATACAGTAGGGTACCATCACCTCTATTTTACTTTGGCTTATAACAGCTTTTTGGTGGCCACCATACATAGCAGTGTAGGCCCATGTCAGTGTACTTTGATTGACAGAATTAGCTACAATAGCCCCAGGAAAATGTGGCAACTCTGATCTAATTTTTGTTAGCACAGACCAACATCATATCCTCATCTTTACATGATGACATCGCAATGCCACCATGTGTTTGTTGCTGTGTGTAATGGAAAATCTGCACTAGCAAGAAGTGAACATTTTTTATAGCATAATCCAAGATAGCTCTCCTTATCAATCATCAGCACAACCAATAGTTACTGGACTAACATTTATTGCACATGCTTTGTAAACTAGAAAAATTCGAGTTAATTTACAATATGCAGTACTATTGCAAGAGTCTTAATTACTATAAACACAGCCAAGCTTGACTAATGAGTAGTAAACACAAGTTTCAGTTCCATTAATTTTAACTTTAATTAATGCTATCCAAAGTACCTTTAAGAAGATGAAGACTGATTCTTAATTCAACAGAAGTAGAAAGCATACTTTTATATTTATCAGAGACAAGTGCTGTGCCTTGTGGTGGTGACATTGATTTGATTGTGTTCATAACTTCATTTCTGTTTCTAAAAGACACATCAACAGCTTTGCGTCTATTATAGCTTTACCTATAATGATCATGGTTGTAAGACTTTGTGCCTATTATAGAAATAACATACAATGAACATACATTAATATACAATGTATAATGTAATTATTCATATTCTTTGTCATTTGAAGCTCTATAAGTCTATTATCATCAACTACAGCATGCATATTGTAATTTGTTATCAATGATTCCAATTAAAATAGCCTTTATTGTACATGTGAGTCACTGAATAATAAAAATGTTTACTTTTGCCATAGGAATGTGACATTTCTCTCAGATTGTGTTGGACCTGAAGTGGAAGCTGCTTGCTCACAACCAGAAACAGGTAATTCAATGTACACAGCTACACGTACATGTGTATGTATGTACTGTTCACCCAACAATTATAATTGCATGTTAATTTGCTTGTATGCTGTAGGTTCAGTATTCCTATTGGAGAACCTGAGGTTTCATCTTGAAGAGGAAGGGAAAGGTCTTGACAGTGAGGGAAAGAAAGTGAGTGACAGTAACTAGTGTAGGTTATGCACACTAGGGAACTAGTGCAGTGATGTACATGTATGTGTACCTGATTAGATGTAACATTAAGGTAGTTAATTACATACTGTGTTTCCTCAAATAAATGACATTGAACCTTGAAAAAATATTGAAAAATAAAATAAAAGGAGCCAACAGCTGGATTTGAACTGTGGACCTCACACAAGTGAGTTCAGGAAGCTTAAAGAGGTATCTACAAGTCATCTATGTCACTGTAAGGCTAGATTTACGTATTTATACTTCCATTTTATTGCTAACCTGACGTTTATTTGTACCCGGCTTTTATTTGAGGATATACATGTGCAAGTATGTTTTAGTAATTAATGTCCCTCTTACAATATGTACCATTTTTAATTTGAAATAAGACAGATGCTCTGGCCACTTACTGCAATATGTAATACCGATGTACATGTACTCTATTGTATGCATGTCTTATATAATCTTTAGTGAATGAGTGAGAGTATTTTTGCAATCAAGAAAGGCTGTACATGTGTGTTCAAAGCCATTTTAAAGCATTACTTGTGTCTGTGACCATATTTGTGACCCAGGTTCATGCCCACTAGTGACAAAAATGATGTAAGTGTTTCTGTTAAAATTTACAAATTTTCTACTCTTAATGATATTTTGTAATCTATAATAGTTCGTTGATATTTTAGTGAGATCCTATAATTTCTACAATAAAAAAAGTTTTTAGTTTATATCTCTGCCAATTTGTATATTTTCCTTTTGCAACTGGAAATCTTTTGTATTTATTCTATCTGTGTGTGTAGAATTAAAGTTAATTAATCTACATGTATGATCTATTGATTGTCATTTTAAGTAAATCCTCTCATAATTGTTTAGGTTAAAGCTAGCCAGGAAAACGTTGATGCTTTTCGAGCCTCATTAATGAAATTAGGTGATGTTTATGTTAACGATGCATTTGGAACTGCACACAGAGCTCATAGGTAAAGAGTTTATTTTGGATGTACACGTAATTGATTGCATACATATACATGTACATGTACATTATACATGTACATACAATGTATGCATGTAGACTGATCTATAGAGCTCACACTAATTAACAAGCCAGTGGGGTTTGGGTATTATTGTGTGTAGTTAATAATTGTTAATCATTTATCATTGCTTTTTATATGTACTTGTACTGTATGTTCTTTTATTCAGCCCTTTGTTTGGTGCATGCATGTAGTTTAATGGTGCTGATTACATGTATCATATTTGTAACTTTGAAACATAATAGGGTATTATTAGATCTTTTGTTTGTATTATATTATTTTCTAGTTCAATGGTTGGTATTAAGTTTCCTGTAAGAGCTGCTGGATTCCTTATGAAGAAGGAGTTGGAATACTTTGGAAAAGCTCTTGGGAATCCTAAGAAACCATTTCTGGCAATTCTAGGAGGGTAAGGAGCGGATTTTGTATTCATTAGCATCTGCTCTTTTTTCTCCCTCTCCCCTCCCCTCTTTCTCCTCCCTTCTCTCTCTCTCTTTAGTGCTAAAGTTCATGACAAGATACAGCTCATTAATAATCTTCTTGATAAAGTTGATATCATGATTATTGGTGGAGGAATGACTTACACTTTCCTGAAAAAGTTGAATGGAATGGAGGTGAGGGAGAGAGTGATGTACACATGTACATGTGTATAATGTACATGTATGTACATGTCAGTTAAGGACTGTACATGTACATGTACATGTACCATGTGATGCAAATTTACAGTTACAATGTATGTAGATCTACATTATAGATACTTTTATTAATGATAAAAATATTTTAATAGGCAATCTTAATGCATGCATTGATTGTTATTTTTGGCAGTACACGTTTTTAATCATTTATGTTGAGATACTTATGGTTTAGTATTTTTGATGTGGTTATTTATGATTCATCTATTATTGATACAGATTGGCGATTCGTTATTTGATCAAGATGGTTCCAATATTGTTGATGACGTCATGAGTAAAGCAAAGGCTAAAGGTGTTAAGATGGTCTTTCCTGTTGATTTTGTGACGGCAGACAAGTTTGACAAAGATGCTAACGTAAGTATTGGTACATCTTTTTATATGTACATGTACATGTACATGTATACACATGTATTATATCAAGCAATGAAATAGGCAGGTAATTATTAGCTCTCATGTTATATTTCTCTTAACTGGACAGGTATTGTAGAAGTGAGGGGTTTCTCTAATAATTTTTTGCTTAAAAATTGAAATGCATGGTGTACATGTGAAGTGTATAAAATACTTACCAGTGTTTATAATAAAATTTTTAATATGTAAAGTCAAAATGTCTTTCAATACAAAAATTGATCAGACATTTAAAAAATGACCTAACAATCAGTTAAGTTACATATAATGTAAGAAAAATTACTACTCTCCCCTCTTGGCTATAACTTCATTTATTATTTTCTTCTCCCTAGAGTTACAATGTATGGCATTGATTTACTTGTGCCTCCCAGGGTTGAAATTCTGTGTGATATACTATTTCACACTATGCATATATGTACTATACATGTACATGTACAATGTACATGTAGTTTTTTTATTGAGTCGTTGAGCTGGTACATGTACAGGTATGTACATTAATTCTCATTTTGCTATCTGGTGGCTGGTGCATCAATTAAAACACTGCATGATAAGTTGTGACTACATGTATGTACATTTACATGTTACTATACAGTAAAAAGTACATGTTATATTTTATTTTGTCCAATGTTATAATGTGTATAATAATGTACTTGTAGTTAATTTACATGTACATGTACATGTACATAGGAATGGGACAAATGTACTGACATTTGAAGGTTTTTTAGACCATTCGTGTACAATGTACTCAAGTACATGTACTTAGGTGTCAGGGAAACCATTTGGCACAATGCTATAATTATTATTTTAATTACTAAAATAAAAGCCATAGCAAATGGTATGGAATGTGGCTTCTTATTGCATATTTTTAAGAATATTTATCTTATTATAACCAAGAGTACAGCTGCTATAGTAGCACTACCAACATTTAGCATTAGCTTTTAATAATTTAAGCCAGTTATTATCATTAACCAGTATAGATGAACCAAATAATTTGAGCATTCATTTGTTTTGAGTAGTAGAAAGTTCGAAAGAGAAAATTTTCATTTGTCCCATCTCTAAATTTACAAGTGCCTCTTCATGTACATGTACTATTGATTGCATTATAGCTATACAGTCAAACCTCTCTAAAACAAATCCCCAATTAGCGGACACCTCTCTATAACGTACAGTTGCTCTTGTCCCGGCCATAAGGCCATTGGGTAGTATATAAAAGAACCTCTGTATAGTGGAACCTCTCTATTCTGTATAACGGACGAGATTTACTGTCCCCACACATCTACACGTGTACAAATTAACCTCCAACGGATGAACATGGTCCATGCAACGGACTTTCTAATTAACGTGCATTTTTGAAGTCACTCCAAAAGGCATACTCTATAGTGCATTGCTTTATTGCCTCGAAACTTTGTGGCTATACGGTAGCTAGTAGGGTTTCACACAGGGGGAAGGGGGAAATCCCTTCCTATACTCTAAGTTTCCCCCTAATTAATTAAAGGGTTTATACTGTACTTGCCATAATTCACTGTTATTCATTACACAACTGAAGTTAAGTAGCAATCGTGTGTACTGTATAATAGCTTATTCTTGCTTTTTCTTGATTAGTTTAATAATTATTACAAAAATAGAATCCCCCAAATATAATGTTATTGTTAAATTTTTTATCTCCCATCCCTTTAAAGAAATCCTGTATGAATTCCTTGCTAGAATACAGTTCATTATGACTAAAAATCAGGAAATTACAAAAATCATAGTCACGACTTTTGGATAAATTTGTGAAATTTTTGGGCCATGGAAATTTTTTGCTACATGTACATGTACATGTATATGGTATGTTATTACTTTTATGGGAGCTGAACTGCTGTTTTCTTAAGCAAGCCACATTTCTGTTTCATCCAAAACAGTTTTAACTGAAATTGAAATGACATTATATGTAATTTATAATTTTATATGTACAATGTATGTAGACTGGATCAGCTACTGTTGAGAGTGGTATACCAGCGGGCTGGATGGGACTGGACTGTGGACCTAATTCAAACACTCTCTTTGCTGAGACCATATCAACAGCTGCCACCATTGTATGGAATGGGTAAGAGTAATAAGAGGCATGGATACACTAAGCAGGGGTGTATAGATAACTTTTAAAAAGAGGAAGTAGAGGGCTAGTGCATGTTACTCTCATTGAATAAGGAAGTTGCTGAACTGCCTTACTGTGTACTTCACTGATAATAATTAATTTCCTCCTAGAGGGGATGGCTTATAGTCACCTAGCCCACAGAGCTATTGGATTCAGCCCTACAGGCTACACAAACATACATGTACATGTACTTGTACATGCATGTAAATGTACATACACCTATGTGTACATGTACTTGTACATCATGTACATGTGCTTGTACTTATATTATTTGAGTTTATGAATTCTCTGACTGCAAGAGTACTGACTGTTAATGTTAAGTATTACAGCATTACTTAAAACAGAGAAGGAACAATTATTCTTGCATTATTATTGGTGTTGTTGTTTTTTATTCGCTTTCATGTAGTCCTGTTGGAGTGTTTGAAATGGAGAAGTTCTCAACTGGTTCAAGGGTTGTATTGGAAGCAGTTGTGGCTGCTACTGAAAAGGGTGCCACATCAATCATAGGTGGGCAGTTATGGGGATGGAAGTTTATACTGTATATAGTAATACCGTATACCGGCTTATTTTCACAGTGAAACATTTTTGCAAATTTTGAGTTTTTGCTCTGCCTCAAAAATTTTCCACCATAAAATTATGCATCTTCATTGCCACATGATCAGCCTGCAAGCTACACGTATTTATGAAAATTAATTTTAGAAATGCAAGATTCACAAAAAATTTTCCACTAAAAAATAAACTGGTATATGGTATTCTCTAATTGTAAACATCAGATCAAAAGGCTAGAATATGGAGTATAGCATGTTGTAAGAATGAAAGAAGAGTATAGCCATATATTTTTTACCAGTTATGGGCAATGCATGTTAATATTAGCTTTAATTTTATGGTCCATAAAATAAGGTCCTAAACAGCTATGTCTATCTTTAAAGGGTAACTGCACCCCAAAATTTTTTTGCCTGGAATAAGTTGGTAATGAAGAGAGAATAATAGGAAAAATAGCTAAAATTATTAAAAAGTACTGTTTCTGTACTAAATCTTGGGTCAAAACTTGTAATTTTTTGCCTTACAGCCATCTTGTCAAATCACTTCCGGTGGTGGGCGTGGTCACGCGATGACGTAGATGGGGGAACATTAGCAAGTGTCTGCATTAAAATATTAGCAACTTTAAGACTGGATTTCTAAATTCTTCGTGCAATAAAGCAGCTAAGAGGTATTTTGCAATTATTAGAAGTTATGCAGAGCTAAATGATGCAGTCAAAATTTAAACTTGCCGTTTAGTAGTTTTTTCAAATAGATAGATTTTGTTACCAGTATAACTGCTTGTAGTTAGCTCTTGATTAGTTCTATATGGTCCACTTCATTAAAATTGCTTCATTGCATGCAGAACTTAGAAATCCAGCCTTAAAGTTGCTAATATTTCAATGCAGAAACTTGCTAATGTTCCCCCATCTACGTCATCGCGTGACCACGCCCACCACCGGAAGTGATTTGACAAGATGGCTGTAAGGCAAAAAATTACAAGTTTTGACCCAAGATTTAGTACAGAATTGGTACTTTTTAATAATTTTAGCTATTTTTCCTATGATTCTTTCTTTATTACCAACTTATTTCAGGGAAAAAATTTTTTGGGTGCAGTTACCCTTTAATGTAATCAGACATAGACCTTACTGCACATGTACATGTTAGGTGGTGGAGATACAGCAACATGTGCTGAGAAGTTTGGAATGGCTGATAGAGTGAGCCATGTTAGTACTGGAGGAGGAGCTAGCCTTGAACTACTGGAAGGTAAACCAATTCGTATATTACTATATCTAATCTAATATAATTGCCAGTTAATTTATATTTGATCACTAATATACTGTGTAGTATTTTTTGAGGGGGTCAAATTAATAGCTTTTTGATAGCTTTTCGCCAGAATTAAATCAGCCATTTTGGAGCATTATGTCCGTGCTCAATGGCACCTAGTTTCAAATTGGCCAAATTTAAAACTGCAAATCATCAAAAATTTATGAATTGGCTATAATTTACATGTACATTGTACCCCTCCAATATTACCAGTTATACAATATTATTTACAATCATTATCCACAATCATGTTATCAAGAGAAATTTGTCATACATTTCCCGTTGAGATTACCCTTAATTTCTACCATGCCTACTTGCAATTGACCAATCAGATTGCGTCATACGAGGTAAATATAATCGCTTATTTACCTCGCCAAGGTAAATATGGCCAACTTATTAAAGTCGTCAAACAGGTTTTCTTAGTTATTTACCTTGTGGACAGCCCGGGAGCAAACAGGTTTCTAATTATTTACCTCGAAGCATAGCTATGGCGTCTGGAGTAATCATTTTTAGCAGAGAAAGCAGCAAAGAACATTGAAAAGAAAGAAATAGAGCCTCAAAAGCATTGGGCCATGTGATAAACTTCTTAATGGGTGGAGTGGAATTGGAAAGGCGTGTTCTGGGCGTGTTTTACTGTACACACGTGGCGCGAGTGGAGAAGAGATTTTCCCGTTTCTTTAAGAAGATACAAAGAAGTAAAGAGGCCTTGTGCTTTTATAAAGCCTTGCTAATCATGGGTAGTTTCTTAGCTACAAATTTGGCATGGTAGAAGTCTGTTATACACCTCGGTCTCGGTTGCTATGGGTTTATTTACCTCGGGACTGCGTCCCTCGGTAAATAAATTCCATAGAAACCTCGACCTCGGTGTATAACCTATACTTATAGTATTATTGTAAAATTGAAGTGTTATTGCATTCAAGCAGCCATTGATTGTTGTTTTAGTAAAGGTAGGATTAAGGTGTATGTAATTTTAATTTGTAACTTTTAATGAATATGCTTAAGTAACTATAAGTCTCTTGCACACATACATGTATGTACATGTAACTATACACTTTCTATAAGTTATTTATGCATTATTAATTTTATTCAAAGACTACTTAACTGTAGCCCACACCACACAACTGAAAGTGTCCTGTATGTTATTGTTTGTTTATTGTTGATTAAATTGTAACACAAATGAAAAATAACATGCATGTACTGATTATACATGTACTGTACATAGTACGTACATTTTACATGCCAGGTACATGTACATATTATAGGTGCCTAATGTAGAGTATTTACAGCACTAACATGCAATAATGACAATTGTTTGTTCAATACAAAGAAGCCATCATTCAAATAAATGAGTATAATGTGATCATGGTAATTTTGGAGGGACACAATGTAAATTTTGGCAAATTGATTATTTTTGGTGATTGGCAGGTTTTAACGTAGCAAATTTGTAACCATGTGCCATCAAGCATGCACATAATAGCTCAAAATGGCGGATTTTATTTGGCAAACGGCTTACCCCAATTATAGTACTGTAATAACTACACATGTACTAGTATTTGAATGTATTTAAAAGTTATTAAACTAATCGTACATTTACATTATAAGTTGTAACAAAGTTAATTGTAAGGCCTACATAAATGAAAGTCTGTTCTCCAAGTGTATCGGGGCAGTAGCTTTCACAAAATAAAACCAGTACCAATATGTACATGTATATAGCCAATAATGTTAATTTCTTTATCCATAGGTAAAGCACTGCCAGGAGTGGTAGCACTCAGTGACAAGTGACTCTTCAAGAAAAAGTCCAAGAAAATTAACAACATCAGCTCCAAACTTTGACATAATAACCTGCTACACGTGCATGTATTTTTTTGCTGTTTTTTAGGTATTATACTAGCAGTATTATTAGCAGTTTTTTTATTCATTTTGCTATGTTAGAGAGCAACTTCATTTTCATGCTTGCGTGACCTTGTTATGCACCTGTTACACTCAAATGGGTAACTATGCTCTTAGTAATAGTATAAACAGTAAAGCAAGAATCATAAGCAGCAATATTCATGTATTGTACAGCATATGTGTTTAAAGTAGATAATGTATTTATTTATAGCAAAAATTTGGGTTTGTGGTTCATGTATTAGTTGTGTATCTACTAACAGTCTAACAGTACATCACCTCTTACAATGACATTGTGTGACAATTAAATTATTGAAGCTTCCTCCTTTTTCTTTGATGATATAATTTTTGAGACTGTTTATTTTTAATCTATAAGTTGACTAACAGTATATGATCATCCATGAGTGTAATTAATTTCACTACTTTAAAATTAATTCACAATAATTTTTACTATTAATGATCATTATAAAAATGAAGTACAATTAAGGTTTGTTTGATATGCCAAAAAAGGTATAATTATTATTAAAAAATTATTTATTATTAATAGCAACCTGGAAGAGGACAGCAATTGAAAACCTATTGAAAAAAGCAGTGTACATGTATGTGTACAATCATTGCCTAAAACATTAAAATTTATGGTAGCAAATTAAGAAGCAATATTACAGTATTAATTATGTTGAATGAAAAGTTTTGAAAACACAATGAGGAATAAGATGACCATGGAGTGTTATTCAGGTGCTGTTGAGCTGCCTACGTGTTGCCTTGCTACTATCAGGCTCAGCAGACTCTTGCTGAGACTCGGACAATTCCTCCAGCCAGGCCGGGGGATCATTCGTGAATACGTTGTCTCGAAGCCTTTCACGGAATTCCTCCATAATGTTTTCCATTGTTTCGTTACTGCCTGAGAAATAGGCAGCAAAACCATTATTGAGCAATACCAAATGCTTCTGCATCACTTTAAGCTAAGAGGGAGAGAGAAGAGAGGTAGGGAAAGAGTAGAAAAGAAAAGAGAATAATTTCAGTATATCACAACCAAAAAGTTTTTGTGTGACAATTAAGTGATAAAACCTCATACAATATTCAAGATTATCCATCAATTGAACAAGAGAAAGACTTACTCTGTTCTCATCGAGAAGCTTCAATTTGATGTCCAAGTCTTTTCTCAGCTGATCATAACGGACTCTGTGCTTATCGTACTGCTCTTGAAGAGCTGTAACTTTAGCAGCAGCCGAGGCTGACTATAAGATAAAATAATAAACTGAATTAAATAATCAATGAAACAATACATGTACATGTACAATCACAAACTGGCTCACAAAATGAAACAAGGATGTTGAATAATTTTATTGTATTTATTTAAGGTACAGGTACATGTACTTACACTGGGCAATCATAACAGAGATATCATCTAGCCACCAGTGTAATAATTATTGCAAGAATATCAATCACCGATGTACGTACATTGTACATGTAGCTACCATGTATTATGCTGATATTGAGTTCATTTGTAATTGCATTTAAAGGACTATAACTCAATAACAATCATAAACTGAAGATACTCATTTACAATTAATGAAGCCACATTTTAACTGAAATGAAACTGCAGGCTACATTATAGTGAACTAATTACATTTATACAAGAACATATCATTATTACACACAACATATACACACACAAACAATACCCAAAGTATAATAAGGTAACCCTTTCCAAGATTATTTGTGTCTGAATTAATGTTCACATATCAATGTACATGTACATGTAGCATTACAGTCTGTCGTAATTCTTCCAAGACGGTAATGTTTGAAACAAAAAGATTATAATATGAAAAGAGCAACAATGAAACACTACCAGACACTCACTGATGCCAATTAACCACAATACCAATCAAGAAGCTATCAATAATCATTCATTCAATGGAGGTCACAAATACTCTCATAATAGTACAACACACTTCCCATTTGGAGTACAGCATACATGTACATGTATAAGTATGTACAGTGTATGTGTTCAAAATACAGTGAGCATGTATAGGTCTAAACTAAATAGGCGAGCTACAATGTATAGTTAAATCTGGAACAGGCTGTAACAAACAGCAAACTAAACCAAATTGTATCATTACAACAAGTGCATTTGATGCCCTCAAATACATGTACCCCTTCTTATTATAACAAAGCTGATATTCTTCAACCACAAGCACAGACATGTACATGTAAACACAGTGACAATGTACACATACATGTACATGTATACGACAGAACACTCACTTGATTGACAGATGCTACTTTTTGGGCAGCTTCAAGGTCAGTCCTGTAAGCATCATGAAGGAGTCTCACACTCTCATAAGACTTAGCTGTAGTCAGTGTGTCCTCTATCGCCTTAGAAGACACGGTGTAAACATTGGCAATGAAGTAATTCATGGCTGCTAATAGCTTCTTCCCATTGTGTGCCAATCTCTTTTGTGTAATTGAGTTAAACGTGAACTCTGTGTGGAGCTCAGGGCACCGGACGCTTAGAAACCCGAAATGCTCAGCAAGAGAAGTCTGAGTGTTTAAGAAACTCTCCATGTGGAAGCGAAGCTGCCCCATGAGTGACGTGAGGTTGTTGTATTTCTTTTGCGTGTCACGTATGGCAGCCACTCTTGCTTCAAGGTCAGGGTCAACTGTCCTTGTTGCACGGCCAAACTGCTCAGAGAGAACCTGGCGAGTCATTTTCATGTGAGTGATGCTCCAGTCCTTAATAGATGAGGTGGTCTCTGAGATTGAACGGGTTTGCTTCTTATGCTGTCTCGTTCCCTCTGGCCCAGACACAAAGACAGGACCAGTGGCTCCCCCAGTAGGAGCAGTAGGAGCTCCTCCCCCTCCTTTTGAAGGAGGCTCATCTTGATCAGAATCCTCCTCTTCCTCCTCCTCTCTCTGGAAACTGAGTACAGGAGCTCTCCCTCCGTCGCTCTCTAGGGCTGAAGAGTCCAAATCAACTGTTTCAAGAGTAGGGGCCTCTTCTTCCCCTCCATTTAGACCGTTTACTTCATCTGCCATTGTCCCTGCTAGAAGTTGTTGTGTAGTGTATGGGCGTGGCAAAGCACATGTTCAATCAAATCACGTGATAAGAGAGGGTGGATGGATTTAGATTATGCTTTATTAATCATTAGAGAATATACCTCAGAGTATACAGGAATAATATTCTAATATCTATGATCTAATTTACTCTGTTATTGTGCCTTTATTGTAAAAATAATTATGTCTGCATGCAACTATCTTTAACAGATTCTAATAATTTTGTGTGGTAGACTCTAGTTCAGAAAACAAATCACGTGATCCTTTTAATTGAACGAATTGAAAGTATGTGGCGAGTATATACGGTACTTCTAAATCAGAAAGACAACAAGAAAGTGGTACTGAAAGATTTGCTCAAAGACCAGCCATTGTAAGTGAGAGAGAGTTCCCTACTGGTAGTCCTTGAGCTAGGACATACATCAGCAATCTAGCCTGTGCCCTTGTCCTAGCAGTGAAGAGAAAAATACTTGGCAGTTCCGTGTTATTCCGGCAGAAACTCGGGCAGAAAGGAAGAGGGAGTGTGAAGAAGACTCACAGATAGGAAACTCGAGGAGACCGTAGCTACTGGAAAGGCAGGTCCAATGATGCCTGTTAATCATCAATCTGGTGCTGATGTTGAGCTCAAGGTGGATTACATGGTGAAGAGATCACAGGGGAAATCAGCACTGGGAGCAACAAACTTTAAGAAGAGAGTTTTTGTACTGACAAATAATAAGCTATCATACTATGATGGAAACCTTGAGGTGAGGATTGAATAATGAATTTAAGTTGTGTGGAGAGAGAGAGAGAGATTGCAAAGACAATAGGAAGTGTAACAAGAAGTACGGAATAGTGTCAATCATAAATGCTTATGTTGTTACATGTACATGTACGTACATTTTGTAATTACGTTATACATGTATTTATACTCGTATATGCTCGTATATAAAACAATCTTGTACTGATTCTTTATGCAGTAATGTTAAAGCTATTTCTGTCATCTTCCCTGCGCTATATATGTACATATACATGTACTTGATTAATGACCTTATTTCACATTGCCTTTGCCTTATTTGATACATGGGGATAGATAGAGGGCTTTCCTGTGACTACCCTCTTTTGTTTTGAATTATATATGTACATATATGTATGTGATTGTCTACTGTCAGTTGACTGCTTACTGCTGGCACTGTATGTCTTTAACAATTAATAATCATTAAAATTATACATATGGATGGCCTTTGTGTATATGTATATTAGGGTCAGTTTTTTTAACTTTGTTGCATGCATATGTACATGTACTATTTATGATTATATGGTGTGGAACGAGAGGGTTTATGAGTAGAAGAAGGACAGAAAGAGTGATAGGAATTTATTGAGTAAGTGGGGGAGGATTGGACTTCACTTTTGAATAATGGTATATCCTATTTCTTGTGATAGTGTTAATTTTGTAGTGTATAGAATAAGTCATTGTACACTGTTATGCTCTAAATGCTGTATATTTTTGATTACACAATGTCCATATGCATGTACATATACATGTACTTGTGATTTGATTTGCTTTTAATCAATCTATCAGCACTTCTCTCACTAGCAAGCCCTTTTAAAATACTTGACATGTACTAAAATCAACAATTCAATGTTAACATCAAATACACAGTCTGCTAACTGTTTATAATTTGTTGCATGGACATACATGTGCATGTACATCTGGTGGCCGTGGGGTCCATGTATAATGGTACATGTACATGTATAATGGTACATGTACACGTGTACATTTCATCAACTCAAAAGGATTGAAAATGGCTCTCACTGTACATATACTAATACACTTTTGTAAACAGTTAGCAATTGTATCAAAATTCTTTATTCTTAGGAATTGTTCTTCTATTCTATACAGGAAATTTGTTTTTGTTCTCTCACTCAAGTTGTGTTTACATGCCGGGCAATTCTATATCCTTGAATGAACTTGTATTTTCATTCCCCTTCCCATCCTCTTCCTCTTCCTCTGATATACATGTAGTGGACTTCCTATTATAAAATATTAGATCATCTCACCTGCATTATGAGTGGACATTTTCATATACACATGTACATGTATGTACAACAATACATGTAGTACAATACATGCATGCACATTGAAATCAAGATGTATTGAGTGCTTGCTAATCATTTACATTGTACATGTACATGCATCTTGTGTGTCCCATCATATACAGTACATTTTTTGTTTGATTATGTTCCTAATGATGCCAAATCACCTTTATTTCTTATAATGTACGTTACATAATGATTGATCGCTTACTAAGTACACACACAAACACACACTTGCAGGTACATGTACATTTATACACGTTTCTTTCATCATCAGTGACATAAGGTATTAATGTTTATAGTTTGTTTTCTTGATGTTTGGTGGCAGCTGCTTACTTGCATAATGCTGTTTATTTTATTTTGTGTGATCTTTATGTAAATCAGTGCTGATCAATTTAAGTCTACTTGTCTAAGGATATCGATGATCAGATGATACAGTGTGCACTTATAATTTCCTTTTGGCACTGTTTTGATATGGAGGGCTATAGGGTATCCACCTAAATGTTCCTATTTTCAACTCATTTTATCATAACTTACACATATTTATATTTTTATTGTTACAAAATGATGATAGCACAGGAAATGATGTAGAGTGTGCATGTACACTGATTGCATAGCAAATACTTTCTAGAATGTTTACTGTTATTATTGGTAATTAGGATGGCATTACTTATCGACTCATCTAGTGTATCCTGCAATTAGAGACTAAGATTAGCATATGGATTTTTAATGAGTATAGTGACATTATGTTTCTATTACCAGTGCAATATTGGTCCTCATTTTAGAGGTGCTCACATTTATGGAGGAAATTTTATACATGTTTGTAGTCCATTGATGTTTTTTTTTTAAAGCTAGAGGGGGAGACTTCCACTGTGCATGTACATGTACGTAATTTAATAGGTGTCTTTGACACTCCAGCAGGTAGTATATACATGTACATCTATATAAATGTATGTGATTTCCAAATTCTGATATGACAGTTTTCATAGATACTAGAAAATTTATAGTTCTCATTCTTTAACTACATGTACATGTATGTATATGTATCCACTTAGGCTCCTATACTGTACAATATATTAGGCTGAACATGTACTTGTGCATGCATAGTGCACACACCCTTAGACTGTTGCTAGTATCTACATGTATGTGTGTTTATAGAATTTTGGGGAAATTTAGCCAGAGTGTGTGTATTATAAATATATTTTTCTCTCCCCTCTTTCTCTCTCGTGCTCTTTTTTTTCCAGAAAAGAGGTGGTCTAAAAGGACAAGTTGATCTCAACAGCGTCAAAGTCATAGAGAAAGTCTCAGACTCGGCCTTTGACAAGCCGTCATTCCAGGTAGTCCATGGTGACCTCACCCTGTATGTCATTGCTGATGATGAAGCACAGAGACACGACTGGCTAGAGCTACTAAGACAATGTGAGTATTGCATGCATGCTTGCTTATACTGGCTAGTACTAATGTAGATGTACATGTATGTGTCTTCTTGGAAAATGTAGTTGCTAATTATGCCATTTATGTGTCCAGTATTGGGACTAGACTAACTGGTTTAGCATTTGGCAGTATTTATTGTTGGGATTGTGGTAGAATTTATACTGAAAGTATACAAATGGATACATCCAGTTTTTATCTACTAAAGTTTCAATTTCTTGCATGTATTTTGATTTTGGTTTTCTCTGCTTATACAGGCTTGCGATATTATTTTCACATGTGTACAGACACTATTGAGATGATGATTTATTTACATGTGCATGTACACACATATCATTTATACATATACTTGTACATGTACATGTAAATACGTATTTGTAGCAGTTACTATACATTTATTGCCCCTGTGGTTCTTGTATGTGTCAATGTGTGTGTTTTTATGTGAATAAACTTACTCAACTCACTTAGAGTGTGGTATTTTGTCATGCTGGTCTGTTCTGTTATGTTTGTTTAGTTATTATAAATTCCTCATTTGACACATGTGCATGTACATTACATGTACTTACATGCATGTACAGTTACCACAGCCATTATCCACCAAATGATAGTCAATCACATTACCAGGATGATGCTAATTGGCACTTGTATTTACATGTATAAACTGTATCCACCTTAATGATGTACATGTTTGAATAAATCATAACCTCAAATAATAAGTGCTAAACCTCAAATTACATACCCCATGCTGGTGTGATGTGTACATGTGTATGTGTCATAGAAATTAACCACTGGATATATTATTATCACACATGTACATGTACATGTACTGTATACATGTACATAAACCCTTAGTTCTGTTTGTATGTACATGTATGTCTTTTTTGAGAAGCCTGGAGACCATTAATGTTTTACATTCTTCTAGTGTTACATGTATTTCCGTTCTCAATATTCACGTACATGCATGTACACAAGGGCATAGCCAGGGGGGCAAATTCCCCTCCCCTTTTCTAAAATCAAGATTAAAAATTAACAAAATAATAAGCTACTTTTGGAAGGAAAAGCTGTTCTACAACTTACATACGTATGAAAGGAAAAGGCTAAATCAGTCCTTCTATAATGCGATTATAAAGCTGAAAAGGTATTTAACGTTGCCTATGATCTTTCTAGAAGTCCGCCATATTAAAAATGGGTGTGGTCATGCCCTAAAAGGGCGTGGTTTTGCAGAATTTTTGTGGCACACTCCGCATAATATTTGCCCCCTCTTTCCAAAATCCTGCCTACACCCCTGGTACATGTACACATAGTTTATTATATAAAGAGCTTTGAACAGTTCTTTTTTTGTGCATTATAACTTGCAAACCTACCCATGTGTCTAATACATGTACATGTACGTGTACATTTAATAGACTTTTAGTGTTCGTGATCATTAAAAATTATTAGCATTGAGCCTACAGTGATTGCATGTTTTGAGGCCATGCAGATATTTATTTAACTTTTGTCTATAGAATGAACTAAAGCTGATAGTTTCCCATATGTTTACATTATGTACAAGTACTTGTGAATTGTTTCACCTTTATGAACACCAATGCCACATGTTTATGCAGTGTAGCTAACGAAGCCCTTTGTAAATTTTTCTATTAAAAAAGAAATCTATTTTCTACATTTTATTTTTGAGTGAAGATAGTGTATATATAGGCATTTGCTTATTATATGCATGTAGTATGTGCATTACATGTACATGTGCGATATTGTACATGTACATGCATGCACCAGAAATGAGGCTAAATCCTGGTTTACATTCGACAAAATGGTCAAAAAGTGCGTGGGTGATTTGACCTTTTGATGCCAAAACGCTTTGAAGTTGACACAAAATCGGTCAAATTTCAATTTTGCATTCGTTTGCATTGCGTTTTATGGCGAGTGTAAACCAAGCTTTATGCTTACCAAGCTTTATGCTTACTATTACAATACATGTACATATGCATATACATGTATGCATGTCAGTTAAGCTACACATTTTTATTTATTTTGTTGCCACTGTGAGAGCAATAATCATCTCATATTGAATATATACATGCACTGTACATTAGATTGTGTATGTCTGTCTGTACAGTAGTGCTCTGTTGCTTGTTGTTCAGTTTGCCTGTTGGATATTGGTTTTTATGCTGACTGTATGTTATGTGTATTTTAGTGTGTTTTCTATATGACTATGAGCAATAATGCACGATGCTATTTACTTTAGTACTATCAGTTTGTCAATTGACTAGGTTTAATATGTATACAGGCTTAAAAATACATTCACATATAGTACAGTACACAGCGTGTGTATGTATGGTGCTTTCATACTCTGTGTTTGTTTATGCATCATGCTGTTGCTATATTGTTCATTGTATAATTGAATATTATAGAACCATTTAAAGTTATTATTTACCTTTTGATGGTACATAATTGATAAATATCTAATAATGTCTCTTCTACTGGATAAATACATGTACATTATCCAATGATGGTCATTTGGCTATACTTTAATTATTTAATCGCATACATGTACATGTTCATGTACGTATATACATGTAGATTACATGCAACATTGTACATGTGCAGACATGTTTATGTTTATGTGCATGGATGGATGTGTACTGTATTATGCATTTCATTTTCTCATTTCCCCATTTTCTCTTTCAGATTGTAGAAGTAATGGAAAGCTACAAGATTTCTATCACCCAGGTCTCTTTGTTAATAGCAAGTGGTCCTGTTGCGATCATAAGAGCAAGCACTCCACTGGTTGCTCCCCTGCCTTCATCAAGGATGAGCATCAGTTCTCTCAAGGAGCTGCTTCATTTGGTTCCAGCCCCACTAGAGGGTCTGGTAACATTCAACACAAAGCACTGCCCCCCATACCCCCTGATGCTGGTGGGTTTAACGGAAGTGGCCCTGGATATGGTGGACAGGGGTACGGCGGTCAAGGGTATGGCGGACAAGGGTATGGCGGACAGGGGTACGGTGGACAAGGGTATGGTGGACAGGGGTATGGCGGAGGAGGTCATAATGTACATGGTCCTGGTCCGATGGCGAGTGGCCCAGTTTATCCGGCCAGCAGTGGAGGGGGTGGGGGAATCTATCCCCACCAGCCAATGGCTCATGCTAATTCTGGTCATGTGGTTGTGTCTAATACTCACATTCAGAGTGGGGGACATCGAACTGCTCCTTATCAGGATCATAATCTCGCCCCTCCACCCCCAGTATCTGTAAGCATCATGTTCTCATTTAAATTGTTATATTCATCTTACCATGCATGTACATGTACATGTAGCTCCAAATTTTGTTGCATATAAAGCTTGGCGTTTTCATTAGTACAAATGTACATGTATGTTGTTGACGAATAAATTGAATTATAGCATCATGTGCTGTGTACTGATCTATATGTACATGTACATGTATACATGATATCAAGAGTCCATGGACTCTTAATGACATGTACTTTATCTATGAAATATTTATTTTTTGTTATTTTTTGTTTTTTTTCTAAAGTGAATTACTTTTAAATAGCAAACTATTATGGCCTATTATATTCAGTATTTATTTTTATTATACTACACGTAGTAGTCTAGTAGTACTTGAGATACACTGTAACCTCAGCTGGTCTTACTGTCATTACCTTCCTTCATGTTGTCACTCTCTGCCTTCCTTTTATTTAATACACCGTATAGTGCTAAAGCAAAACATTTGTGGTTTTAGCACATTAGCATGCAACTACAAAATTAAAGCTCTGCTAAAATTAATATTAAATGCCTATTAAAAGTGTGGCCCTGACACGTGAATCTGTGAAAGTTATTTCTGCGGAAAAAATCATTTTTGTAAATCTGTGAAGTTTTGCTGCTTTAAAGAAAAGCACTATACTGTAATAATAGAGTAGAGAGAAATGCAGCAAAAGTTGGAACTCATTGAGCCCACCCTACATGTTTAGTTGTATTTTGTTATTCTACTCAAGTTTTATGACATGTACATCTTGTATTTTTATTTGCACCATTCACTGTACATTATACAAGTTTTTTTGCTATTGGCTATTACTTATTTGTGTATTAATTAGAAAACCAGACCAAGCAGTACAAAGCCAAGCTTCGAAGTGATGGCAATGTATGACTATCCTGGTATAGAGAAAGGTGACCTTCCATTGTGTAAAGGACAGAAAGTTGTCATATTTGATAATTCCAGAGATCATTGGTGGAGAGCTAGAGATGACAGAGGGTAAGATTGATACTGTCATATGCCAATGAGTTCATTTTGTAGCTTTTATTTTTGTTTTCTCATTAATTCATGTACATGTACAAGTAGGAACTACTGTTTTATGTACATGTACTATTAGGCTGTGATACTCCTCCAGTGATTGTTTTGACACACCACCTTACACCTTGTGTATTTATTCCCTCTGTACTAATTAAAATTTACAAATGTTTATTTAGCATCTTGAATTTTAGATTAGTGTGTTAATTAGGTAAGTTAAATGTGCACAAGTACTGTATATACACTATAAGTTACCTCCCATATCATACCACTCCCCCCCATACACCCACTCTTGAACACATTGAGGTCAGGGGTCAGTGCAGGCCTTACAGACATTTTAGATCCATACACCCATAGGTGTGCTTTATTATTACTGTGGGAGCTTATTTTCTGCCTAATTCATTATATTCAACCATCAGAAAATATACATGTTCATTTTTAGTGTTTTTTGCACATAAATCGTAATTCCTACAAGTATTTTGTATGTACTGTACATGTACGATACATGTAAATTTATTAATTGCATGTATTATCTATTGTAAATTTATGTCATTTATTTATTTATTATTATTTTAGAAATGAAGGGTTTGTTCCTAGTAATTATGTTAAGAAGGTTGGATTAGAGAGTGAAGAGTAAGTTCCATTCATCAATTCATTCATGATTCTTATTCATTGTACAAAGAAATGAGTGTGATTGCAATGAGTAATCATTTTTTAGGGTTAACATTTTATAATTTGAATGCATGTACGTGTACATGTATTTTCAAGGGTTAGAAATTTTGCAAATTGATCAAAATAATGTGTGAAACGTGTAAATTAATATCTGAAAAATTGCTGTGTAAAATTTTGTGCACAAACTCTGGGTGAGGTCAGTGTTTGGAATGTACATGTAGAAAGGAGGGTACACTCTACATGGGAATTGGCCACTTACATGTACATGTACATGTAGTTACATGTATAATATTAATTATTTATTATTATTCTTTAGTTGGTTCTTCCCTACATTATCACGTGCCAGAGCTGAGAATATACTCAAGCAAGAGGTAAGCAGTATTACCTTATAAGGGCTAGCTGACACTACATCTCTCTCACTGTAGAATAAAGAGGGAGCTTTTGTTGTTAGAAATTCCAGTCGAGATAACATGTATACCCTATCGATATGGTATGTGTACTATAATATTGGTCACTATTTATAAAATACTGTTTTTGGGACTTTGTACATATATATAACATTCATAGCATAGTGCATTCTTTATTCTTTTCGTTGTTCATCCCTCCTCTCTCTCTCTCTCATTAGTCATGAAGGTCAAGTCAGACATTATCACATTAAAGATGACGAGGAGAAGAAATACTTTATATCAGAGAAACATCGTTTCCCAACAATTACAGAACTTATCGAATATCACAAACTAAATGGAGGAGGTCAGTCTCATTTTGAAATCATAATAATATTTTTATTGCATGTACTTTGTGTATAATTCGTGTTATAGGTTTAGTTACTAGATTGAGACGGCCTCCTACTCAGTTAGTGCCTAATCAACCAGTCCTCTCATCTGCTTTTGGTAAGTTAATTGTGATGCATGTACAGTACAGTGCGAAAAAAAGATAAGTAGCTACTCTACTTTTGCGTAGGTAGTTCGCTACTCCTTCGTTGCGCATGCGCAAACCCACCAGTGGTAGTAGTGCACGTGGTCAGCAGCAGGACAGTAGCTCGACGGTGAATCGGGCAAAAAGCCTCCTAAACAGCCTTCTAACAGCAAAGAGCAGCAATAGAGATGAACTTGGAGAGCACAGACAGCCAAGAGAAGCATCCACAAGTCATTTGAGAGCCTCTAGAGTGCGTGAGCGCTTGCTACTACAGAACATGTGACTGGGCGGTACCGCAGTACTTCCTGGGCATAGCGCAGCGAAGAGTAACGAAGTAAATTACTACCTACGCACTACCTGCGTACTACTGTTGCTACTTATCCTTTTTTTCGCCTTCTACTGTACATATACTGTGTTTGACTGCACATGTATTGTATAAACCATTAATGGTACATTATTATGTATTGCTAATGTGTGTTCATGTACGTGTTGTAATTGTTTTATATTTAGAATTTTTTAATTTTTAAAGTTGCTCCGATTGCCATATTGTACATGCATGTACATGTACATGTACACTGTGTACATTTACATGTATGTCAGTTCATGAAGCATATCACTTAACATGAAACCCTGCATGTATAATTATTGTATTTATTGGCAGAAGTTAATGGCATACATACTGTGTGTACATGTACATGTAATTTGAAAAATAATCATTTGAAATTTCACAACTTTCTCCTCTTTATTCATTCTGTTACAGACACTAAGTGGCAAATTGATAAATCTGAGCTGTCATTAGGTAAAGAGCTAGGCAGTGGACAGTTTGGAGTAAGTATATCATACATGTACAGTACATGTACATGTATTATACCTTTACATGCATCTTTGTACATGTACATGTATGTACATGTAATGCCTTCATTTTATGTTGATGTACACAATTTTTCTACTTTTAATCTGTTTTTTATACCACTGCCAAATTAATAATTTTTTATATTTTTGTGTTCTTTTCATTCAGAGGGTAGTAGCAGGTCAATGGCGTAATAAAGTTGATGTTGCTATTAAGATGATGAAGGAAGGTGCAATGAATGAAGATGACTTCATTGAAGAGGCAAAAGTGATGCAGTGAGTTTTGTTGACAATTTTTGTGTAATATATTAAGAGTTTTTGGTGATGCATTGTACATATAATCACAGTATGTCTTGTACAATATACAAGTACATGTATGTGTGTATAAATAATAGTGAAAAGAATTGTCAATTATATTTTACATGTAATACCGTATACGCCATATACATGTTTTTACGGAGATTAAATTTCATGATTTTTGTGCTTTGGAAAAATTTGAAGAACTAAAATCCACAAAATAGTGTGCTGATTATAGTAGGTGTGGTATTTACATTGAAATTGCGAAATTTTTATTCGAGAATACAAAAAAGCAGCCAAGTCACGAAATTTTATACCCACGAATATATGGTGTATACGGTAGTACATCTTTTAGGAACTGCAATTGAACAAACTTTTTCTATAATTTTTATTTTCAAATACTGTACATGTGTACGTGTAGTTGTTAGATATTGTGCTTTGCATCATGCCACCATTATTGACAGCCTTCATTTTTTGTTCGCAGGAAATTCCAGCATGATAATTTAGTAAAGTTATATGGAGTGTGCATCAAACAAGGAGCAGTGTATATCATCACTGAACTAATGGTTAATGGTAAGGCCACACTATTGAATGAAAATTAAAAATTATCTCTTTTTTGTCTTCTCAACATTCTCTGTCACCTCTTTTCTTTTTTAGGCTGTCTGCTCCAGTATCTTCGTAATAATAAACATTTAGTAGAAAAGACAGACATTATACTTGACATGGCTATACAGATTTGTGCTGCTATGAAGTTTTTAGAACAGTCTGGCTTCATACACAGAGATTTGGTAAGTAAAAAAAGACCTACTTTTTGTGTACGAGATTATACATGCACATTTACATGTACATGTATGTAGTTGCTGCTTTTTTAAAAAGCATCCACATGGTAAATTGTATGTTACCTACTTACCTCATAATTAGCTCAAGACAGATCCATGCACATTGTGTGTATTTGCCTTTTTTGTTGCTTATTTTACAAATACAATGTACATTGTACATGTACTTTGTATGTTATCATAGTACTTGTAATTGTAATTTGATGCTTTCATGTACATGTACATATGATTATAAAGTGTAAAGAGAAACAGAGCATTAATTTACAACTTGTAAATGTACATGTACTTGTACATGTAATTGGATTCACAAAATTATTATTTAACAATTTTCTAATTTTACAACTTTTACATGTACACGTACATGTAATTGCATTCACAAAATTATTATTTAACAATTTGCTAATTTACAACTTTTACATGTACACGTACATGTAATTGCATTCACAAAATTATTATACTTGCTACTCCTTTATATTGTGTTCATATACACAGGCTGCTAGGAATTGTCTGGTTGGTGACAGGAATATTGTTAAAGTCGGTGACTTTGGTTTAGCAAGGTTTGTGACTGATGATGAGTACACAGCCTCTGAGGGTACCAAGTTCCCCATCAAATGGGCAGCTCCTGAAGTCATCACTCATGCTAGATTTAGCAGCAAATCAGACGTTTGGTCTTACGGTAAGTTATTATTTGTCTTGTGATTTTATTTATTTTTCCTCCTGTAAGTAAACCTCAACCTCTGTGGCCTATACTGTTGATAATAATGTGCATAGTATATACTGTAGTTTTGGGGTTGAATATTTTCCCATGCATATTCAATGATGCATGTACAGTGTATATTCAACCATATAGTGTACACATTAACTAGCTGTTATCCTGTGGTTTTGTTTATTTTTCTACACATATCCTCTGTAGTCTAAGCTTGTGTACCAGTTTAGAATTAGAATAAACCCTATTATTGTATTTGACTAAGCAAAATGTAACTGAATGTACAAAGGCTTCCTGGCATAGTCCTCATGCAGCTTCTTGTCAGTGGATTAATTGTCAAGTTGTTCAAAGTTGTGCCAAAGACCCCATACTATACAGGGTATTTTGACAAGAATCACAAGGAGAGAATTCTTTAATTTTTATATTTTTCTTTGCATATACAAATTTTTATGTTGTCTAGAAAATTTGAGCTGACTTTGATCAAACTTGAATTTTTTATAAATTTTTAAAGTTGCTCCAATCGACATGTACTGTCTTGTCAGCTCCACTTAGCATGCTTTGTGGGAAACCCTGCATGTACTTGTACATGTTCATGTGCTTACATTTATTTTTGTCATTAGGTATTTTGTTGTGGGAGTTGTGGAGTGGTGGTAAAACTCCTTACCCAGCCTTTACTAATCCTCAAGTATTAGATGAAGTAAGTGTATATTTTTATCTAACTACATGTACATTCTTTACTCATCCACACTTTTTCTTTCTCTTTCTCCTCCTTATCCTTATATTTTTTACTTGTTCTCCTTTAGGTTTTAAGAGGATATCGATTAGAAAACCCTAAATTATGTCCTCCTGAAGTTTATGATTTAATGAAAAAGAGTTGGCAGGCGGTATGTTACCCATTACATGTACAGACAATGTGTGTGCTGCTTTATTATACAGTAGCTTCAATGTTTAGTTAAAAGTGGATGTACATGTAAATGTACTGCTAATTTTTTCGGTTTCTTTCATTTGTATTATTTGTATTTAAAAAGTATCATCATGGTTTACAAAAGCTGCTTCTACGTTTGTAATTGTAGTAGAGTACAATTGGCATTGTCTATAGAACAGGAGCACCAATGTTTTTTTAACTTAAGAAATTTGGCTCACGGCATTGGAACATACCAATACATGGTTGTACAAATACAGTACAGCAATTTGCCCATCAATTATATTACATGTATAAAGTAATAGTACATGTACGATTAGATTTATTTTTGGAATATTTTATATTACCATTGGCGATACCTTATGTGTGGAAATTTTTGTAATTTCACAATTGTTAATTGAGTACATGTACATGTAGATATTAGTAGAATTGCATGAAGTGAAATATTATGCACATGATCAGGCAATACATAATCTATTATAGATGAGTGTAATAGTACAATACTATGATTCATTGCTATTCATTACTATCTTTTAGAATCCTGAAGATCGGCCATCATTTGCTGTCCTCTCTGATTCTCTCAAAGCCATGGTAGGAGATGACTATAGTGATGCAGTGGACTAATCGTTCGCCTCAGAATAAATTAATTTTTATTTTATGTGTATTCTGTCTTTTCTTCTCTCTTGTCTCCTTCATTATGAAGTATTGTAGTGTCTTGCATTTATGTTGTCTCCTTGTGTATGATAATGTGTTGTCACTGTATTATGTACCTGTGTGTATGTATCATGTGTAGCCTATTTTATGTGAAGCCATTGTAAGAAGCTTTTTAACGTTTTTTTTTGTTGTGACCGACTGACTGACTGGGAAATCAATTTTTAGTTTGTTTCTCTTTTGTTTTTAGACACATTTTTTCATATAATTTTTTTTGTTGTGTTATTTTTGGTTATTTTTAATAATTATATAGTATTTTTAAGGCAAAAAAGTTGAAATTAAGAGGAGTGAGGCATGTGGGGAATGAGAAAAATAATAGTAGGGGAGGGGCTGCCCTCTTGAAAATTTAACTGCCTAGCTCATCTCCAAGCAGTCCACAGAACTAAAGAATGTCAGAGAATGGCTTCTATACACTATAATGCCAAGAGTAGACTACTCTTGGCACTATAGTGTATAGAAGCCATTCTCTGCTGAGTAGATACAACCCTTATGTACTCTTGGTAGTATGGTAGTGCTGATGAGAATGTTGTTTTTCAAATGCAGGTAAGCAATGCCATAAATATTTCTTATTGGTATTTGCTAGATCTAAAATTATTTTGTAGATATATATTTAAAATTTTTTAAGGGCTAGATATAAGTGGGTGCATACATGTGTCACATGATCAAAATTATTAGTCAAAATTATTGTTAGTGCCTTTGGTTTTGGCCAAATTTCAACAAAAATGACTAAAAGAGGATTCTTCATTTTTATAATTGTTTGGTATTTATTGAGGTACGTATTTATGTTCTTATGTCGTGTAAAAAATTTGAGCTGATTCCTATCTAAATTGGAATTTTTACGCATTTTTAAAGTTCCCTAAATGTTATGCACTGTTATTATGTTAGCTAATGAAGCATCACTTAACACACTTTGTGGGAAACCCTTAGCCACACTCTTTATTTTTAAGAAGTAGCATAAATCGATTACAATGATAGCATATTTTATTTCACTTTTAATGTTAAAAGGTTATGTCTACTTGTGGTATGGTGGGTGTTTTCTTCCTGTTCATTGTGCTATGTCATCTTGTTGAGTCAGCATTTAATAGCTCTGGTTAGAATTAGAAATCTCAGAATTTGATTGTTCTCTTGTTCCTTTAAGAATACTATACAAGGTAAGTTTTTCAAGACATAAGTTGGTGTCTTGGTGACACTATGTAACATTTGATGTAGCAAATTACAGTGAAATGTATTCATTATTGGTCTACATAGAAATTTAAAGTTAGTATCAGCATGGATCAGATGTGATCATTAACAATAGTGTATATAAAGCTGATTTAAGCCAATTATTTTATAGGCTAATAAAATTACCAAAATTCATTTCAAAATTTTGAGCTTGGGCAGCAAGACAACAATATTTTCTAACTTTTGATGCTTCTCAAGCACCTTTAAAAGTCTTTATAAGATGTAGCCACTAGCCAGAAAAGAAATAAATGTCAAAAATCATAGTATGTGATATTCTTTACTGCTTGAAAATTCCTCATAAGTAAGAGGTATTGTGTTATTTAAATTCTTTTTTAAAATTTGGTGAATTTCATATGAACTGTCAATGAATCTACCTTGTATCACTAATGAATACTGTTGTACTCTTCTCTTACATTATGAATATTCTCTTCTTGAAATAACACCAATGTGTTTCCTGTTTATATTATAGGGCTACTGTCTCTGTTACTGAGTCATTCTTTCTCTGCTATGGATTCTACTGCAGATTTAAAGGTATATGGCTTCTGTTTGGCTTCTGTCTGGCAATAGCTATTATTGTTCTCCTCTTATAGAAAGCAAGGTGTTGTGAGTACTGGGCTGATCTGTTAGAAAGGCTTGCAGCAAAGGAAGCAGCAAGGGATGTTAGTATGGTATGGGATGTCTCTCAACAACTTTATGAGGAAGCCGTCAGTATATTTTGCAAAGATTTAAAAACTTCTGATGTTTTAGTGAAAACAGTAATTCTTTCTTTGAGCCATGGTATGTGAGTAATAATTGTAATTTTGCTATTATTTATCTTAAAATTGATCATAGGTTTGATTCACCTAATCCCTGAGGATTGTTTTCAGATTTTTGATGCCTCTTGTATTTTCCATTCATTAAAGTACAATCTTCCTTCATTGGATGCTCCACTAAAGGAAGATGTTATCAGGTTCTTTATCAGCAAATGCAAGCCCTTGAGAACTGCAATAATAGAAGGAAAGACTTTACCAGAGTCTCGAAAGTGGCTTTATCAAGAAGGCGTGTTGTCCCCAATAATATATCGCTGGTTATTGTTTCGCCGTGACATGATTACGCCAACTTTATCTTTACTTGAGTTATACATTGATGATGAACAATATGAAATTGTTACTGCTCTCCTTGAGCATCTGCCACCTTCAAAGTCAAATGCTTTTCAAAAATTGATTAAATTTGCTTGTAAGAGTAATAAACCAAAGATCGCTTTATTGTTGCTCGAAAAGATGAAATCCTTCCCAATTAATTTTTTGCAGAATTTTATAAAGTGGTGTGACGAGGAGCAGTTGAAGGAGCATCTTCATGCCTTGAGTCCTGAAAAGAAAGGAGAGTTTTTACACTTTTGTTTCTGTAGTCCCAAACCTGAAACAAGACAAAGAAGTATCATTGCCACTGCTATCTTGGAGTCTGGAAACATAGATCCTACAAAAATCAACCTTGCTGAAATCCTCAAATTTTTTAATTATCTCATTTCCTCCGATTTATCATTTTTGAAAAAACTTCTTGATATAGATGTTTCTCTTGATTTTAATCTTCGGACAATTTTTGATGATTTTAAGAACAAGGAAAAAAAAATTGAGTGTGTTAAACTAGCCTGTATTTTGCTAGAAAATGGAGCAAGTATTGATGGCTTAGAAGTTGCTTACAGTGGGAAAGGTGGGACTGTTGTTCATGCTGCTACAGAGTTAGCTCTTCAAACAAGTAGGTCTTATTAATTAGTATGCATGCACATAGAATGACCATGTATATGCTATTAAAAATGAAACTTAATATTTTTTCTTGTTAGGCTGCTTTCAAATTTTAAAGTTGACTTGTGATAAGGTTGAAGATATAAGCAGCTGCCTTTATGATGAAAGGAAGATGACTCCATTACACATTGCAATGAAACAAACAGAATGTAGTCCAGTTTCCTTGGAAATATGCAAATACCTTTGTCATGAGATTAAGATTGATTCCTGTCTTAAAGATTGCAATGGTAAGATAGCAGAAGATTACTGTAGAAATGAGATAGATGAACGGCTCATGATCATCAACGAAGCAAAGTACTCCCATCCTCTTGCTTTGGAAGAGGTACAGAAAGAGAAAATATTAGAAAAACCAGCGAAAAAGGTTTGTCCAAAAAAGGAAAGAGACAAAGAAGTTTTGCCAAAACTCAAAACAGAGCAGACTCCATGCCAACAAACAAATAATAACCCGAGCCAACAAACAAATAATAGCCCAAGCACTGTGATATTATCACCACCACCAATATCTGAACATGATTGTATTATCGAAGGATCTGGTGATGATGTCTTCAAGCATCTCATGCAGGATTTATTGAGCCAAGATGAGACTTATTTTGTGTACAAAAGCAAGAGGCAAGGGGCTGGTGCAACCTTGGAAAATGAGGTAGACAGTGAAGATGAAAGGAAGGAAGACACTGAAATTCAACTTGAGCCTGAAATGGAAATGAAATATGATGTATTTTGTTCACCTCGGGTTAAAACTTTTATTGAAACTGGTGACCCCAAATTAGTTAGTCGTGTTATAAGTACCATGAAAAGGCTTGCCTGTGGTGAGACCAGTGTCAGACTTGGGAGAAAGATGCATTCAAAAATAACAGATACAATTTTTCATGGAAATGTTGATTCAGCGAAAAGGGTTATTTGGCACAGGACAGTTTCGTATTCTCCCATTAGTAGAAGACACTGCGAGATACTGGTTCTGTTAGATGTAGTATTGGATCACAAAAAGTTGAACAAAGCTGTGAAAAATGCAGAAAATTGGATCAAACGAGGCGAAGAAGAAGGAGGAAAGTATGCAGTGAAGCTCACATCAGAAGGTACTCCATCATTTTATGAAGAATCTGATGATTGTGATTCATCAGAAACAGTCCCATTAATGATGAAAGATGATTATGGGGCAGTGCCAATTTATTCTTTACCAGAATATGCTCTACAGGCCATCAGAGCTGGAATATCCAGGAGATTAGGTCTCCCTTTAAAATTATCTCGTGAAGAGCATGAAATTGTTTATTTGCATGATGATGAGAAAACTATTGTGAATTTGTCATACCAGAAAGGTACAATTTTAGTTGTTGGACGGTCTGGAACTGGCAAGACAACTTGTTGCCTTTCACGTATGTGGGAAGAGTTTCGTCTTTACTGGGAAGTAGTTAATGACAGCAATGATCCAATTATCCCTCGTTCAATAAAGCTTCAAGCAGAAGTTAAAATGGACCCTGAAAAAATAGAAGATGTCCCTGAAACTCAAAAATCAACTGATGGAGAATCAACAGAAAGTTATGAGCCACTGGATTCAAGCAGTAGAGAGCCTTTCGATGAATCAGCAACAGATCAAGAGCAGTCAGCCAATGTTGAACAAATTGTTGATTGTGATCATTTGAATCAAGTTTTTGTAACCAAGAGTCCTTTTCTTTGTCGAGAAGTTAAGCATAGGTTTTTTGATTTAGTCTCAAGTCACAATTTATTGCAGAAGCATAAAGATTTGGAACACAAACTACCAACTTCTTTAAATGATGTAAGTTTCCCTCTCTTTGTCACCTCAAGGGATTTGTTGATGTTAATGGATAGCACCTTACAGGATCGCTCTTTCTTCCATAGAAAGAAAGGAAAGCTTCTTGATAAAATTAAAAATTCTGAACAAGCTTTTAATGAGGAGGACATTGGTTTATTGAATGATACAGATGATGAGGACTCTGACTCAGAAGATGAAAGTGATACTGAATTAGTAGAGGAAAATATTGCTGATGATAACGAATTGATTTCTGAAAAAGAAGTCATAGAAGTCACAGCATCATTATTTCAGAATCTAATTTGGAAAAAGATATCATCAGGGCAAAAGAAAATTGATCCTATTTTAGTATGGCAAGAAATCAAGTCTTTTATTAAAGGTTCTGTTACTGCTCTCAAATCTGAACAGGGCTATCTCTCCAAAGAAGAATACATTTCAATCGGTGAAAAGAAAGCACCAAATTTTTTGGAAAATAGAGAGGACATATATGCATTTTTCTTAGCATATCAGAAGTTTTGCAAGTCTCCAACAAAAAAAGGG